GAGGTGACTTTTCTAACCATAATGGCACAGGAGGTGAGAGTATCTATGGGGAGAAGTTTGAGGATGAGAACTTCCACTACAAGGTAAAATACCCAAGAGGCCCCATTGTATGACTACACTACAGGAGATTCTGTCTATTATGTTTTGCAGTCTAAGCAGTTACTTTCCACTACAAAAATAAGACGAAGACTCATTGACTCAGAGTCTGCTAAGATATCTGTGGCCCTATTACTTCCAGTCTTCTTTTATCGTGACAGTTTGAAAACAATTCTACTTTATAATAGTTATATGTCTTGTTGATGTACGCTGTTGGAGTCGTCTTTTTTTTCTTTCATAATTTTTTGTCTCCATGTAGCATGACAGGCCGGCTCTGCTGAGCATGGCCAACGCTGGGCCGAACACCAACGGCTCACAGTTCTTCATCACCACTGTCCCGACGCCACACTTAGACGGAAAGCATGTGGTCTTCGGACAAGTGTTGAAAGGGATGGGAGTTGTGAAAATGCTGGAGTCCATTGATACTACAGAGGACACCCCTGTAAAGGTAAACGCCTCTAAATACTCTTGAGTTTCTATTCAAAGACATTTCTAATTTGGCAAAAATTAACACCCATTCTTAGAGAAGTAATGGCTAATACAGACTTCTCTTGTCTACATATCAGAGATTTTTTTTTTTTATTGCAAGACTTTAAACATAAGCTCAGGAAATTAAAGACCTTTAGTAAGCTGGGTGAAGGTTGGATCCTTGTGTTGTAGTGAGTAGCAAAAGGAAAATTCATTTCTTATATAAAACTGGGGGCAATATGGTATTGTTTTCATTTAATAATGCGTCACCTGAAAACATTATGAAGGACAAAACTGAAAAAAAGTTGTGCATGCCACATCGTAGCAACTGGAGGGTTTGTATTTTCATTGGTCTCATGGGGATGATGAAAAAAGGTTTAGAGTTTCAGTGTAACAGTTGCTTGTCACAAATAGTCAAGTGTAAGTAGCTCAAATAAACATTTTGAAAAGAAAAAAATCAGCTCGAAAGCACGCATTGTTTATGGACATGACGCATTGATGGAAAATGATTGCATGAGCCCCGTGAGAACTTCCAGAGCTTAAAGTAAGACCTTTCTATTTAAAGTTTCCACTTATATCTTCCCTTGCAGCCATGTGTCATAGCTGACTGCGGTGAACATAAGGATGGGGACAGCTGGGGCGCTGCAGCGAACGACGGAACAGGAGACGCCCACCCAGACTACCCCGAGGACTCAGACATCGATTTTAAAGACGTAAGCATCAGCGAGGCCTTTGATCTTCAAGGACATGGGTTAACTTTGGCAGATAGCATCAGACTGCTGTGTGAGGACCAATGTGGCAATTTTGTAAATGTGCATGTTTTCGGCCCTACACAAAGTCAGAAGACAGACACAAATTTCAATATCAAGATCCAGGATGTGTTTAGCCTGGCAAGCACTGGAAGCAGGGGGAAGCAGTTACTAAACAAATTCAAGGGCTTTTCCCCAATAGTACAAGTTGATAGATTGTAACTGACACTGTAGATGTGCTTACTTTCAGTTTTACTTTAAAATAATGTAGTTTAGTTGAGGCTGGCCAAACTTTTTGTTTATAACCTGTCTGAACAATTTAGTTTATTTCCCATCTGACTTTGTTGTTTGTTTGTGTTCATTGCTAATTTCTTTTTGTTCCCAGAACTCAATTTGTGCTCTGAGCGCTGCTGTTATGTTAATTAAGAAATGGTGGCGGAAACTGCAAAAATAGGATCCAAGTCGTGAAAATAAAAATAAATAAAAATAAATGCCAGCAGTCATGTTTTCAAAATGAAGAAAATAGAGTTGAAGTCTCCAGTGTCATTCTCACCTGTACTTCTTCTCAGGTTGACAAAGTTCTGTCTGTGGCTGAAGATATGAAGAATATCGGAAACAACCTTTTTAAGAATCAAGACTGGAAAGCGGCAGTCAACAAATATAGTAAAGCCCTCAGGTAACAAACTGAAAGGAATGTTTTTGTTTTGTTTTTTTAGTAACTAATGCCTTCATTGAGTGAGAGGTGAGCATGTTAGAAGCAAATGATTTCAAATCATCCAACTAGTTATGTGATCTACCCAGTAGTGGAAATACACTGTTCAAAAATTTTAAGTTCTCAATAAATTACAGAGTGTATATCAATGGTTGGGCAGTGGAAAACAAAATGATTAACCCACTGAGGGGAGGATTCACAATCCCTTCCTATCACGACAGATGCCATAAGTTTAGCTGAAGCTATGCTATACTGTGATGATTAAGTGTTCTCTTAAATGTTTTGAGCAGTACACACTTAATACGGTAGGGGCCGTTTGGTGTCTCTTGTGATGAGCCTTATGTTCAGGCATATGTATTTCAAATATGTATTTAAAAAAACCTTCATTTTAACAACCAAAACAATGGAAATATTTACCAGGTACTTGGAGGTGAGTGGAGACCAACTGGAGGAGGAGGCACAGCAGAAGCTGGAGCCCACAGCACTCAGCTGTTTCCTCAACATAGCTGCCTGCAAACTGAAGATGCAGCTTTGGCAGGACGCTCTGGACAGCTGCAATGAGGTGACGTGAGCCACAACAAACCAACACATTGTCAAAGCGGTAGTTCTGTATAGCTGTTGGGGTTTGCAGTTCATCTACCGCCCATGCTCCACATGCTAAGAATGCACGACTTCCCACTACTGTAAAACGCTTCACATGATCATGTTGGAGTGTTTTGAATATGATTCCAATGTGTATACAGTCAATGTGAAATTATCCACCAACAGCTGGTTAGCTTATAGACTGGTTCTGTCCAAAGGTAATAAAATCCACCTACCTTTAACAATAATTAACTAACATGTTATATTGTTATCTGGGGTGGTTATGTACCAGACTGTGTGCTGCTGGGGAGCAGTGACATTCTGGACTCTTGTTGTCACTGCAGGGCTTCAAGGCAACCAGTGGAGATAAAACACATACGTGAATCTCAGAAAAGGAGTGAATAGTTCATTTTAAATTACTTTTACTTGCATTTAGTGTCTTCGACAACTTCCTCCATAAACAATTCATGTTATATTGCATGTTAAATACGTCCTACTTAATCTGTGACATCCTTTAAATACATGAATGAATAAAAGAATAGTGACAACTTTAACAACACATTGAGAGACAATAAGATTTCATTTGTTGTGTCTTACAGGCACTAGAGCTGAACCAAGCGAACACTAAGGCACTTTTCCGGAGGGCCCAGGCCTGGCAGGGGTTAAAGGAATACAGCAAAGCCATGGTAACGTCCACAAAGCACCTCTATCTTCTAAGTGGCTGTTCAGAAATGAAATGATCAAAGACTGAGAGTCTTTTGTCACAGATGCTACACATCAGCTCCAAATGCACACATTAGCTCGACATACGTGGATCATCTCGTGGTTTCTTACAGTGTCAGTGGCACAGGACTCTCTTGTAAAAAAGTTTGTAGTAAAATAAATCATTGTGATAGTTCACAAATGGAAGTAACACATCTTTCATACTTACATGTTCTCGTTTAGACTCCGCAGAATCCAGATGCATTGATTCTCAGGGCGGTTTTACTCACCAAGTTGTTTTCTGTGCGTCTTGTTTGACAGACTGATCTGAAGAAAGCTCAGGGAATAGCTCCAGAAGACAAAGGTGAGGCTTTCTTCAATTTTTCGTTTTTTATTTTGTCAGGCTTTTACCCAGAGCCATGCTGCGCTTTGTTGTCATGTTGAGAATACAGCAAATATTTTCCTTCTTCTCCCACATTTGCATATTTAGATTGTTTGTTGTAACATTTCATGCATATTCACATGCATTATTCAAACTAAGTATGCAAGCTCATGAAGAAAAATCATCCCGGATTGCTGGAAAATGTCTTGTTTTTCCTGTAATGTTTGGCGTTCCTCTTAATTAGACTTTATGGAGGAAATTAAGTTACATATTAGAGATCAGTTGCAGGACAATAATGAATCAGTTACTTTGATGAATTTTGTTTTGTTAATGCGGCGCCAACTGTAATCAGTTTGTATTTCGGGTGGAGAGTGTCTTGGATGTAATATCCCTGCCCAAATATAGAAAACAACTGAGTATATTGGGTGGAATGGGGCTCTCAGAGTGACTCTATGCTTTTAGACAGTGTTGCACTGCTCTTGTGATATTTAAAGCAGCAGTTTAGTGGCTGCAGGCGAGGCGATAACAGCTATCAGTGTGCTATATGCTCTTTGTGCCTTCAGGAGTATACGTTCTTTTTATCTAAAATTCTGTGTACAGAAAAACAGAAATTGTGGCAAAGTGAGCACGAGGATTTCAAACTTGAAGTGAAATATTACCCACTACAAACTCAAAATAACTTCATTTGACTGATTGATTCACTTGTTTAGCTTCTTGTGTGACAAACAAAACTAAACGCCCTTCCTTCAACAGCTATCAGCAATGAAATGAAGAGAGTCCAACTTAAAATCCAGGAGGAGAAGGAGAAAGAGAAGAAAATCTATGCCAAAATGTTTGCGTGAACCTCTCACCGAAGGATGCAATGTATTATCATTTATCAATATTTGAAGTTATCTCTACAGTGGAAGCTGCACTTAATCAGATGAGGAGTCTGTAACCAGGTGAAAATGTATGGTGTTTTCATTTGACGGTCCTTTCATGTTTTTAAGGGGGCACATTTCTCACCATCTGTCCTTTGCGGGGTAACAACTGTCATAAGCTTTGACCTGTCTTTGTTCTAACGAGTGTCTTCACTGTAACGAATAGTTTGGAGTGTTTGTCTGATGCATGGCTGATTCCACTGTGCCGTAAAACTAGGTTAACATGGACCTTTCTCCCTCCCCCGGGGGTTTTGGAGATGTTTAGTAAAGCAAAGTTGTGTATGTTGTGTCATTTCACGGTTGGGATTTTGATACAGTGCCCTTGGTGACATATCGTAGATCCATTTGTTTTTATTTATGTTTTTTACAGAGGTCAATAAAACAAAGGATAACCGTCAAGTGTCGTTTATTTATGACCGTGGCATTATCATATATATATATTTATATTATATATACAATACTGTCTGGAATAAAAGCCATCATAATATGCCGCCAGTTACGCTGAAGTGAACCTTAATTTAAGAACTTTTTCAATTAGATATGAAGCAAATATATTCACAAACTTGGCCAAATATTTCTCAAACATTAGAACATGAAAGTATTTTAAATGCTCCTATCGCAGTGATGTCTTGAGTCCAACATGGTCCTGTGTTTTGCATGGGTTTCACAAGTCCTAGACTTAACCCCCCCCCACTGTATCGTATGAGAATTATGTATCACAAGTTGTATTTTTAATTATTGTTCTTGTACCCTAAAACAGCTACAGTGTATTTTAAGTCTGACACTTAGGCACATTTGCCATACACTGGCAACTACTGTAACCCTGAATGTGACATACATTAATTATCTTTCAAGGCAAAAGGTAAAAAAAAACAACAAAAAACCCCCCAAGACATTTACATGCCGTTGTAGGCTGGTCCTCCGCCGCCCTCCGGCACAACCCAGTTGATGTTTTGGCTTGGGTCCTTGATGTCACAGGTTTTACAGTGGACACAGTTCTGAGCGTTTATCTGCAATCTCATCCCGTCTCCAGTTTCTAAGGGAACGTACTCGTACACACCTGAAAGTGGTAAAAACAGACATACAACTTGAGAAATGTTTCCATTAATTTTCAGGATTTTTCTTTTCCTGAGAAGGTGAACACAAAAACTTGGATTGTCCTCTATTAGGGATATAACAGATCATCATATTACGACAAACTCTTGATAACACGGTTCAGCAGAAGTTAGTTCTAACTTCACTACACACAACTTAGTAGCTGCTTTAGTGAATTGTGTGTTAGATACATTTCTGCTAAAACTTTATTTGGACGTTATTTGCACCTGAGGCAGAAAAATCATGATATATTTTCATTGAGACACCATTTGCATTGTAAGCAACATTTCCTGCTCGTACTGTCATGATCGTTTTGTGCAGTGGTAAAATGATGAATCGTTTGAAATCAGGTAGGCAACACTATAGTTGAATCAGTCCTCTGTTTTCTGTCAAGTCTTCACTGCTTTTACATAGTTTCTGTCACAAAAGGTCAGCAAGGGGAAATATCAGTACAAAACACTGAATTTTTAAAGCGCAACTTACATCCTCCAAAGTGTGGGCAATGGAACAGATTTCAATACAACAATAGTCTGCTGCTTTGACAGTCACTATTATGAATTTATGGTGAGAGTTAAATTATGCCAGGAAGCAACGTTATACCCACAGCCATTTATACAAATTATTGACTTTGCTGACCCAGAACTGCAGTGTTTACAGAGCTCCTAATTGCTGGCTTGCTTTATCCAATCTCCCCTGCTCTTTTAGGCTTACCTATGTGGGCCACAAAGAGCCCAAGTGTTGCGCTGCATTTAGCTTTGTTGTGTCCACATTAACTGGTCACGGACCACTCACCGTTCAGTTTGAAAGTTTCCAGGGAATTAAATGAAGGCCACATCTGAGAGACAGAATAATGAGTTTTGCGGCACTCAAAACGAGATAAACACAGCCAATAACCTGAGACTGTAAAGTGTGTCTGGCTTAAGAAACACACACTCCTACACCTAACAGTACTGATGTCACCACGTGTGAATAAAAAATGCTTTTTTAAAAGAAAGATTGTGGCAATAAAATAGATGTGTTTACTCCTTTATGGCAGTTTTGTTATTTGCTGCAGAGTGGTGGGCTCAGCTTTTTTATTTTTTCCTCATCAGTTATTTTCTTTGCTAGACAGGGGAACAGAACAGGGACTGTATATATAGAAAACGTTTTCAAAACAAAAGGAGTTAACTTTCTGGAGAGACAGCCATTTGATAGCCAGCAGTTGTGTTGGAAAAACAAGGACTGACAAACAGACCCATTCCAAACTGTTCGGAGTCATACTATACTCAGTGTCACATATTGCTTAACTGTAGTGCTGAAACAATTGGTCATTTGCTAATTGTTTAATCTTGAATATATCACAACATAGAAAAAAAACATCATCTGGTTTCTACAGTACAAGCTCAAGGTTGCTTAATTAGCAGTCTTGCCTCATCTCGTGTTCATCGTCTAATCAACTAAGGTTAGATTTGATTTCACCTCGTTAAAATTTTGACGACTGCATGATGCCGAGTAACTCTCTGCCCTCTAAATATAAAACTTGTGAGCCTACCACTTATGTTTGCAAGCCTGGGTTCACGTGTAACTTAAACATTGGTGTCATACGCAACACAGCACAGATCTCGCTGTCTCGCAATAGCATGTGGAAAAGATTAACTCTTATCTGCACCCAGACAGACTGTGTGTGGTAAAGCTCTTGACGTGTAACAATGGCGTTACCTGCAGGGCAGAAGCGTTGCTCAGGCCCGTCGTAAATGGCCAAGTTTCTGTCCACCGGGATGCTGTCATCTTTTAAGGTCAGATGGGCCGGCTGGTCTCCCTCGTGATTGGTGCCACTCAGAGCCACAGAGGAGAGCAGGTCGAAGCTTATCTTGCCGTCGGGCTTGGGATACTCAATTGGTGTACAATCTTTGGCTGGTTTCAGCTGGTTTGCGTCCAGGCCTGAGACGGGTGGAGCACAGTTGGTTAGGAAATGTTGATTTTTCTCTGCTGCGACAACATGAATTCAGACCTCGCGTTAAGAGAAACTAATCGCATTGTGTGATTACTGCTGACCTGCATTGACACAACCAACCACAATGGAAAACTACTGTGCTTCATTGTACCTGTAATGTCCTTTGTGCATTTGCAGAAGGTCAAAGACACAACACAGATTTTTCCTCATGCTATATTCCTTCTATACTACATTTACAATCTTGTTTTTCTCATAATTAACAGAGTAAATAATTGAAATGCGGTTCTTTGCAGTGAAGTTGTGGAAAACACACAAATCACTTTTCAGCGTTAACACCTTCCACTGTCTTCTGTGTCATTTCCATTTCACTGCCTCGTATTCTTTTCCTCATAATAGTAACTATCAACCTTCTCTTTTAAATCAAATGTCGATGCTTCTTTGTAACGACAGCAACTTTGCAATTCAGAGATTAATAAACATCGCCAAGCTGTACAATGATTGTTTTCTCTAATACTCACCACAGTGTTTGAGCGTCCAAGGCTCTTTTCCTCTTAAAATCCAGTAGAAGATCCCAGTGTAGACCATGCCACCATACAGGCCAAAGTAATTGTGGAAGGACGGCCTGATGTTCCTCACTGCGTACAGCTCCTTCCACACCCATGAATTCTTTAATGCCTCGGCATACTCGGGTACATGGAGTCCTAGGAGGATTAAATAATATTTAATCAAAAGGTCGTAACTTCTTTTTTGCTCTGCTGAGGCCACCTTTTAATTTTCTGCGCATCTTTTGGTACAAAGCTTTGATAAATCCTGACCTTTCTGAGAAATGACCGTATCTCATCAAATTTCCAGCAATACAGAGTTTAACATTTTCCACTCCCAGTACTCCCTATGAAAACAATTCACAGTGGTGCCCATGGACTTTCCTTATCTAATTAGGACACAGTCTGATAGAACAGGTTCACAATGTTTTGAGCAGCACCAATTAAACTGGAATTATCTACATCAAATTATGGTGGTGGCATATGTTTCAGAGGCAGACCACTTCAGTAATTTGCATATGAAACTTACTTTCTCAACAGTAAATTATCAGCAGGAGTCAAGTAATTTTGGTGAGATTACACTACAGGAATGAATATATATGTGCTTTTCCTCTACAGACTATGGACATGTTGTATTTAAATGGTCCATTGTCATTTTGTCATTATGCTAGGGAGAATAAGCAGATTTACATAAACTTCTTAAGCAAAATTTATTTTTTTAAACTAAGTCACCACAGGGTTGCAGACGAATATATTCTGTTGCCATCTCAAAGTATTCATCATACCTGACACTGTATTTAATTTCCCTGTCGGTTAGATTGAACCTGTGACAGCTCCGTTGTGAGGCAGACTGTCCTTTCTGAAAGTGAGTCATGATTCTTAAAACTGTTGACACTGACACTTTTATCTGCGCTGCAGGTCTTTGATTGATGCACCTGTAGTATGAGAATAAAGCATGTGTCCCCAACTGAATATCTGTGAATGTTGCTTTGAAAACTTCCTGCCCTTGAATAGCTGCTACTGGCCATTCAACCCACGTTTGTGGAACTGTTTGTGATCTTTCTTTCATGGTGTGTTTCTGAATTTGACTGTGTAAGCTTTTGTGAGCTATAACCTGCGATGTAGTAACTCAAATGAAAAGCAGCAACAACCTCCAGTGCTACTTTTATAATCATGAACAGAAACTGGGCTGCAAGGTGGCTCGGTGGTTAGCATCGTTGCCTCGCAGCAAGACGGTCACCGGTTTGCATCCCGGTGAGGACACCTGGGATCTTTCTGCGTGGAGTCTCCATGTTCTCCCCGTACAGCGTGGCTTCTCTCCGGGTTCTCCGGCTTCCTCCCACACAGTCCAAAAACATGTTGAGGTTAATTGGTGATTCTAAATTGTCCGTAGGTGTGAATGTGAGTGTGCTTGGTTGTCTGTCTCTAAGTGTGGCCCTGTGATAGACTGGTGACCTGTCCAGGGTGTCCCCTGCCTTCACCCTAAATCAGCTGGGATAGACTCCAGCCCCCTGCGACCCCAGTGAGGATTAAGCGGTGTATAGATGATGGATGGATTAACAGAAACTAAAATCTGTACCTGCAGTCTCTGAATCCAGGCTCTCTGCTGTGACTTTGGGGAAAATGGCCTCAGCAGCCAACATGCCGCTCTTCATAGCCGTGTGGGTGCCTTTGATCTTCGGGACATTCATGAAACCAGGGCTGCAACCAATCAGCAGCCCTCCAGGGAAAGTCAGTTCTGGAAGAGACTAGAGAGAAACAAGAAAGAGTTCATTTTTAACTTTCTTGTGTTCTACTTTCTGAGATCTTAAACTTGTAACTGGATTTCAAGAATGTGGTCACTGTTGTGTACTGGGTAAATACACCGATCTACCGCGACATTAGAATCACTGACAGGTCAAGGGCATAGCGCTCGAGTTATCAAACTAAAACGAGACCCAAAGTGTTTCTAAAGGCTCCGGTTTAGGGGTCCTAAAACTCCACAGTAGTGTGGCTTCTACCCGTAAACATAGCAGAGGTCAAGCATTTTAAAATGAAAATGTATTCCTGTGGATGTGGCCCTGGTCTGATAGGTCAAATAGGTGAGGGACATCCTCCTTGAGAGACCACCATATGACTTCCAGCTCACTTAAGCTTCTGAGCAGCACTGGAGACCCAAGGTAATTGTAATTTTCTCTCTCAGTACCACAGATTTCCAAGAAAACAACCACAATCCAACAAAGCAATGTTGGGTAACACTTAATTTGAAAGGGGTATACGTAAGCATCGAGAACACCTACGAGACACCTGACATAAGCAAACATAACCAGGCACAGTGTTTGTTCAACCTGGTCATAAGGGGTTGTTACGATTTTTTAATTACTATTATTACTTTCAGTGTCAAATTTGCATGGTTTTGAAAGAAAGAAAAATACCCACCTGAAACTATAACATGATTAGTGGAAATTTTACGACAATATCAGTTAGGAAAGTTCATTATGTTACTGGTCAAGTTTTATATTATTGAATTTTGTCATCAGTGTAAGCACACTTACATTTATTTATCAATTTATTAATTATGATAATACATTTCCAGTAAATTATTTTATCATTACATGCTTCACAGAGGAATCCCGCAGAGGCCCAAACTACCTTAACTGACCTTTCCACATAAATGAGCAGTGGCAGACTAATTGGGATGCAGCAGAAGCGTAAACAATTAGAAAACTCAAACAGACTTCATTACAGGATCACAAATAAACCAAACACAAACGTAGAGCAGAACCGAGAGCATTTCAGGAAACTTTGAGTTTTACTGCGGTTGTTATGTGGTAAAACTTGAATTTGTTTGCTTTGTAAATGAGACTCAACATTTACCATTCTGCTAATATATGACAAAATGAACAACCTTTAGATAAGGTATGTTTCGGGTGCAGGATATTATAGTTGACGCTGCAAATATCCGCTTAGCAACAGATTAATGTGATACGTTTGATTTATGCCGTACAATTTCTCTTTTTGATAATAAAATGTGCAGTGTACGTACACACCTGTATTCCTCCCTCATTCAGGGCCCGGGCTCCATAAGCAATTCTGTTGCCTCCCTCTAATGTGGGAGCTACAAATGGGTGGTGTTTCCAACGCTGGAACTCTCTGAAGGGGCTCAAGTAAGGGTTGGAGTAGTCTAGACCAACCTGCGATGGGAAGAGAATTCACAGTTTAAATCCAAAGGAGAAAAAAAAAAAAGTGGTTATTTCATTCAGCTGCTGTGGTTAACAAAAGAAATTAAATCAGATATTTTTTTAAAATGTATATTCTCTGTGTGTTGTGATGGTAAATCAGAATTGATCAACTCTTTTGCCACTCATCAGTGAACCGTCTAGCCATGTCCAAATTTGTTGAAACCAAAAATACGACATATCTAATTTCAGTACTTATTCAGACAGTTGGTTTTGACACGACACACTTTTATCATTCTTAGTAAATGTAGAACATTCTTGAAAGTCACCTACAGTAAATTACAACTACAGAAAAAAGTTTAGAATAGCATTAACCTGTATTTTCTATCAGTATTGAATCAATCGCAGCGATTTTCTGACCAAAAACTTAAAACTTTGTTGTCTTCTGAGGTCACCTTGTGATGAGTTACACGTCCAAGGACACAGGAAACAATAACAGTTTGGAATAGTACAAACACAGAGAGTCTTTTGTGCTGTACGTGCGGCCCGATTCACTGACTAGTAGCGGTTCTGTCAGTTTCTATTTAATGACTCCGAATAGAAGCACACTATCAGGACAAAAGTGGAGTTGCTTCAAGTGAAATTGCCGACAGTCATTCAGTGCAAATACTGCAGAGCTGAACTCAATCAATCATCAGTGGAGATTCCATCAATGTTTCCTCCCATCCAGTCTGACAGAGCTCCAGGGAATCTACAAAATAAAGTGGCAGCAACTCTTCCAGTCCATGTGTGCAGAATGGTAGAGGCAAAAGTGAGAAGATTTAAAGCGTAATCACTCTCAGCGGTGCTTCAAACTACAGCAATAAAGTGAAGTAAAGTTTTTTTTGGTTGTTTTGTTTTTAGTTTATTTACAAAATTCGCAAATGTCATGTTTTTACTTCATTATTGAGGGAGATTGTGAACAAAATGCTACAACATATGTGTTTTAAATCATCCCTATAACAAATATTGCACACAATAAATCTATATTCATTCTTACTCTGCAGAATGAATAATTTAAACTAATAATGTAAAACATCCCAGACTTGTCTATTTAATTAGAAGCTCAATAATTTTCCTGAGCATATCTGCTGCCTGCATGACATCCAGCTGTCACACTTGTTTATGTATCGACAGAGTTATACAAAGCCACTCACCACAAAGCCCAAGGCCACTAGAGGCTCTCCTTCATTCAGGTGATAGAGGAAAGATCCTCCATATGTGTGTCTGTTCAGCGGCCAGCCCACAGAATGCTCCACTCTGCCCGGCCTCCACTTCTTCTCGTCAATCATCCATACCTATGGAGAGCAGGACAAAGGTTATCAAGCTTGACAATGTGTTTTGTTTCTTTGGTTTTTGTTTGCCAGTGCAGATTCAAACAGGAAATGAAGAGGGCAAGAACATTACAGAAAATACTTTTATCAGTCCCGCTAGGAATTATGAGTCAAACAAGATAAAGGAGAAACGAAGTCTATGACACGAAGCAAGTGACTCAGTCTCTATACAGTACTAGACTGATGTAGGTAGAACATGTATTTACCTCTTTCAGACCAATGGCGTAGGTCTGTGGTTGGCAATTCTCACGCAGGTTAAATTTCTTGTAAAGCTGCTTGGCCAAGTGTCCGTGACAGCCCTCTCCGAACAGCGTGACTTTAGCATGGAGTTCCATTCCCCTCTCAAAAACATCCTGACGCAACAGGGTGCATAAATATATTTAATGACAGAGACGCAATATCATAGTTCGGTTGTTAGGTTAACAAGACCTGATTTGCTTATTCTGCAGATAACAGAGATGTGGTATGGACAAAAAACCTTAACAAAAACATAAAATCCTACACTGAATGCTGATAATAATTTACTAAACAATATACTAAAAATGCTTATATTATATTTTGTCCTATATGATAACAATTATGCCTCAAAACAACAATAGCCTTTTCTTTCAAAAGTCCCGATGTATCCAAGCTTTTTGTGTGTATATTTGAAAGTAGAGCCTATTTGTTCTTATGTCTATAAAGTTGTGATGCAAGGCTCAAAAGCTAAAGGACAGAGCAGTATCACTACATTAACTTTCTACTGTACTTTACCTTTGGTGAGCCATCCTTGGCGATGCCTACGTCATTGGTGGCGATTCCTTTTACACTTCCATCTTCATGAAATAAAACCTTAAAGTAATTCAGATAAAGGTTAACAGCTGACGTTGAAGAGGACTGTACAAAGATTTAGTTAATTTGAATTAAGAATAAAGAATAAAGAGGGGCACAGCTCTTTTCATGAATGACACTTTTGGCGTAACACATTTACTGACACAGGTAATCCTATAATGATATGACATCTGTGTTAACTGAATTACTGTGTTTATATTTAATGAAAGACAAATGGAGGCGGACAAAAATTTGCATGCAAATTGTCGTACAGCACATCAGACATTCAAAAGTGGTCTCACCTCAGCTGCAGCATAACCAGGATACAGCTCCACTCCAAGCTCCTCTGCCTGCTCACCCAGCCAGCGCACAAAGTTCCCCAGCCTCACAATGTAGTTCCCGTGGTTCTGCATGGGCAGACCTACAGCCAGTGAGGAAAACCACACACGCATGAAGTCAGCAAAGCAGATGTTTCAGGGTTTTATCAACAAGCTAGCCTCCAGGTTTGAGACACAATCCTGGAACTGGAACAGACAACAATGGTACCAAGTGGAGACTGCGCAACTTGCTTGCAAAGATACCCAAATCAATAAAATTTCACTTAAATGTAAGTATATATTATAATACTGGACAAAACAACACATTTTTCCTTGTTTCTATATGCAGCAGTTCTCCTTTAATTCTTCATTTAAATAATAATTAAAAAAAAAAAAAAAACACAGTAATGCTGCAAAATGGTAAAACCATTATAGGTCTGACAATAAGTATATATATATATTCACATAACTGAATCTAAAAGATGGATCTGTATATAGAAAGCTTGTATTAGTGTTTCCAAATATATAACAGCAAACGTGAATTAATTTGCCTGACTGCAAGTTTCCTCATTTTCACATTTTGGTGGTCTGACAGTTAACAAAAAGGCAGTTAGCAAATTGTGAAGGCTGCAATTTAGGATATACATTACACAGTGCTGTCATGCTGTCCTTGTGCCACAGTCAAGCTTTTCATGGTATGTAGTAATAACAATGACAACAACAGCAATATTAATATTTTAAATCTATTACACAGTGACGACTGAACTCAAGCTTGGCTGAAACAAATTCATTTGCAAATTCAATTCATCAAAAGTCTGAAAAATCATTTAGCTTTAGTGTGACAAGTTGGGATTTTGTGCTATTCTTATTTATTTATTTATAAGAGGGGGATGAAATAAAAGAAGACAAGACAAAAAGAGGCTTTTACCTGGCAACATGGGGACAGGAATTCTGTGTTTCTCTGTTAAAATACTGAATACATCTTCAGTCACTGGAGTGTGCAGAGGCGCCTGAGGTAAGAATATGGAGAAAAATCTGAATCAATACATGATTGATCCTCACAGACAAACTGCTTTATAACAGTAGCTTAAAGTTGTAAAAATAAACAAACAAACAAACAAAAAACAGAGTGACATGAGGAGAGACTTGACCAGGGTCACATTATTGAAGGCCTTAATACATACAGTACATGGGTATGCAGTGTGGATAAAGTCCCACTGTTCACAGTTACATGTTTGGGCTGCAGAAACAGTCCTTTACGGTAAAGTGACTGGGGTGGCAGTGCTGGTTACTGACGAAATGTAGCATGTGTTGTTGAGAGTATAACGTCAAAGTGTATTTAAAATATAATACAGTTCTACAATAACTGTAAACACTGTTACAATTAAATCACATTTTGCAAGATAAAATACCAATGCATGCATATTTAGACACTTACATCCTGTGTGAGGGTATGCACATATTGATGAGCAAAATATAGCAAGTAACAGTATGTAGCTGTGTTAAATATAGCAATTCTGACACCCAGCCACAAAATGTAATATATTACATAGTGTCCAACAACAGCACCTGATATTACAATCCTTTGTGCAATCAAGGGCATCTTTGCTGACCTCTATTAATCCATACACCAAACTCACAAAGTAAAAATGTTGAGTAAGACACTTACCCCTCGTTCCTTCCAATCAGGAAAGAGCTCGGTGATGGCACTGGGCTCCAGACAGGCTCCTGACAAAGTGTGTGCTCCGATCTGGGAGGCCTTCTCCACAAGGCACACTCTCAACTCCTTCTCGTGTTCGTTGGCCAGCTGCTTCAGACGAATGGCTGCCGACAGACCAGCTGGGCCTCCACCTACTATCACCACATCTGCTTCGTCGGCAAACCTCTCCATTTCAACACCTAGGAGAAGCCCAGAAGATAAAAGGAAATACCCTTATATATAGATATATATAGATATAGACAATACATGAAAACAAGATCCACTCCATTCTGATTCAGTCTGAAATATTATTTACAACAGGCTTAATGTACTCAAACAGAGAACCAACAAATAGTGGGATTTGTTTTGCTGTGTACTTGAAAGCAAGTGTCTCTGGTTTGCTTTAGTTAAGCTGACACAAAGCTGCGACACACAGTTTTTTACATGACATTTGTAGTGATGTGGTGAACTTAGCAAAAAGGAATCAACTGTCTAAAGAACAACTACATCTGTATGTCTTTGTAATAACATTTCAAGGACGCGCAATGTCTGTGGATGAGGAATAAAGACATGTAAGGAGAAAACACAAGTACAGTCCCAAAACTGACCGCTGAGGGAAATCATAATTGACAGGAGAAAAACATGACATATCATGTTTAATGTAGACAAAATACCTCCTACATGGCAGTTGTGAAGACAACCATTTAAAAGCTGTATTAGATATTCCTACCAAGTGCCTCGGTCAATTGAATTGGTTAAAGGTGGCATTAAAATCCTGCCGCACAATAACAAAACACATCCTGATAACGACGACTGCAGTGCAAAGTGTAACCCAGAAACATGTATTTTCTACATACTTTCAGTTATCAAACATGTCTACATTGCTTTTGAAATTATACTGTATACTTATTAGAAGTTGCACTGTACTTCTGTATAGATTCAGAAACCTGGATAAGAAACCTGTTAAAATATTGAATACATCTTCAGTCACTGGAGTGAGCAGAGGCGCCTGAGGTAAGAATATGGAGAATATAAGACCAGGTTAATTGAGTTCAGTGTAAACATAATATCTATTCTTCAATATGAAAAACTAGGACTGGACCTTCATCCTGTGAAGATGGTCATTCTTGTGCTAGTTGTTAATTACAGAGCACAAAGTGGATCAAGGTACAACAAAACATCAGTGCCATCAAGAGTGTCAGATGAGGCCTGGTCAATGACAGTCCAGGTGCTCATAATTCAGACTCGTAAAGTGTAGTTTCTTACCTTCCCATCTTGAGTCTTTGTCTCGAGGATGGATGGTGTAGTGTGTAGTGATGCGGGGTGTTGACACTGAAGAGCATGTCCTCCTGTGTAGTGTTGTGTACAGCTGAGGGGCAGCATGGTCCGTCGGTATCGTCTTCAAGGCCCTAATACACCTGTGGGCTGCAAGAGAGAAAAAGCTCCAATTCAAGCTCAGTAATTGGTGGGAATATGATTCTCTATAGTGGGCTAACTGTTTTAGCTCAGCCTGATTGGGTTTCCGAATAATAACAGACATGCTACACACAAGCTTGTGAATTTAAGTAGGTCACTTTGCATGGTCACTTTGGACAAGCTTTTATCTCCACCAAAGGTTCACGTAGAGAAAATGTTCAACAGCTGTCACACTGCTAAGTTGCAGCAGTGGACCCAGGCCAGCTAGCTGTTTGACCAGCGCTATAAGATAAGCTCAAGGCTGCGAATAAACACCATTTTCACATCGTGGACGCTTTACTTCACTTCAAAAACAACGACAAGTCAGTAAAACGTCAGTACATTTCAAAAAAATATGATATAGACCAGGCCAAGGACACTGTTCAAGTGACCTATATACTCGTTCAACTTTCACCTACATATTAGCTTGATGCTAACATAATTGAGCATGCTAGCCAGTTATAAACAAATGCTAACGGGTAGCATTTGGAAAAAAAGACAAAAATATAATTTGACAAAAGGGGAAACTATTCCACACTTAAACCTTCCAATAATGTTAAAGCAAGCATTTATGTAAAGTAGCAGGCGGGTGTACGTCCAACAGACCGAAATGTTTTAGCTAACGTGCTATTAGCAGGACGTACCTTGACATGAGTATCTGCCGGCAGGGAACATTCTGTGTCAGCTAGTGCAAAGTCACTAGCAGACAGCGGTGTTCCTTTCAAAATGAGCTAAAGTGAGCCTGTTGTGTCCTCACTTCGTTGCCTGTGCGCAGCTTGTGTAAGCCTCCCGGTCGGCAAACAAACGCTGAGCCGAGGTACCTTACAAAATAGGTCTCATAACACACACATTTGGGAGCATCAAAAGCTGCGCTGCTGCTGCGGCGTTTACGTTTACTTTAGAGAGTTGTTACTGCGCAAGTGCAGAGCTAAACACTTCTCCCACTGTCAGAGCTACTGTAAATACAGACAGCATGAGTGTACATTTCTTTGTCTTTTTTGCTTAACATCTCTACGTATCTCTCACTATTTAATGAGTATTTCCCTATTGTTTTAACTGGAACAATTTCTGAAAAAAATATAAATAAATATTAGCTTAAAATTCCTATGTAGGGAAAATCCATTATTATTATTTTTTGTGTGTATCTTACAAATGGTAAAATAACAACTCTAAAAAACCAAGAAGCCCACTACAGCCATTCTTTTGGCTCCCACTCAACCAGATGGCCTCCCTCCCTACTCACTGCAAGCCAGAGTAGGAACCTCAGAACTAATAGTCATGGAGTTAAAAAGACACCTAATCCTGTGTGCTGACTGCTTGCTGCTTCCAAGAGGAACCAGTCAGAATGAACAGCTGCCCCACAGTCTGCTTTCTAGAATTGCTTTTCTTAACTCTAAAATGTCTCAGCCACGAGCTAACCACACTAAATGTTGACCTATAGGCTACAAGAGTGAACACAAGAGTCTTCATGCACTCCCAGCATCTGAGGAACTGAAGATCCAGTCCTGACTTTCTATTATTGATGACAATGTCCCCACAACAATATTAAAATCCTTAGTCTTTGCACATTATGTTGATACTGTGGTTAACGTTACCGTTAGCTTTGATCGCATGCCCACAGGTCAGAGTTCTGTGATGCCAAGAGACATTCAGAGATGGATCTTCTTCCTGAGGGGTCGGGGGCAGAACTGGTTCAACTGTGTTGAAAGCTGCAGACACTGGAACAACCCGTTCAGAACAAAACTAAAACCAGAGGTCATACTGACATAGTAAAATGAACCATCTTTGCAGTATTTTGACCTAAAAAAAATGAAAAGACACATTCTGAGGACATATGAGACTTTCAATAATTTGCTAAAAAGTGGCCCAATATGTGATCTTTAATGTGTACAGTAGCTTGTGAAGTAACTGGAAATTATTGCAGCTACCTTTTTGTTTACTAGAGGTTGAGCGTAACACAGTACTGTAGAAATTTAAGGTTGCATATTTCAATTTCATGCTACCTAAGTTAATGTTTTAAGATAATTCTTCACATTTGGGAGAGAATCTTGTCTTAGAATTAGAATTAGAATAAAACTTTATTTAAAAAAAAAATTGATGCAGTCTTACAGTTTGATGAAGTGTGCGACAATTAATTATGCCACTGATTTGTCACGCCACATGTTGGTTTCTGTTGAACATTTTGTCGCCACAGAAGCTCCGACCGGCTCAGTTCACAGAATGTTTTACCATCAGTGTAACATCTGGTGCTGTAAATTCAGTTCACAAAAACAAATATTGACACATATGCTCTTGTTGGATCAATGTCTAGAGGTTCTTTTTT